GTAAAGCTGTGCATTTATTGGCAGTGAATGCACTTAGATTATTGTCAGAGTTGCCAGAGTCGCTTGGTCCATCAAGGAAGGTGCATAACCAAACAGTTTACAGTTGAATTTGTTACAGCAAAGCAAGCAAGGTACAGTTCCCAACAAATTGCAACTTCTGAGTTAATAATTGCAAAACTACCTCCGTACAACACCACATGGTTTACATTTTTTGCATGTGGCACTGCAAAACACGTATGGTCGCCGCATGGTACATTACCAACCGGTTTGCAGTTGTTGCGTTTGCCGTTTGCCTGTACAACTGTGCATTTAATTTATGGGCAGAAAATGCACTTAGAATATGATCACAATTAACATAGTCACTTTGAAAATCAATCAAGACAAAGAACAGAAACATACAGTTGGGTTCGTTAATTCCTGCAAAACAAAGGTAAATTGCAAAAACATGCAGCTGTCTCAAAACAATCTCAGTACATCACCACATCGGCTTGCAGTTGTTGCAATTCGTTCTGCAAAACACACTCATGGTACAGTAACAGCTGGTTGGCAGTTGTTGTTTTTGTTGGTGTAAAATTGTGCATTTATGGGCAGTGAATGCAGTGAGAGTATGGTCACAACCACATTGTCACTGATAGTCCATCAAGAGAGGTACATAACCGAACTGTTTACAGTTGAATTAGTTACTGCAAAACAAGCAAGATACAGCACTACAAAGTTTGCAAGTGTTGAGTCGCAAACAATCTCAGTACATCACCACATGGTTTACTGTTGTTGCATTTGGTGCTGCAACACATGCATGGTACAATACCAACCGGTTGGCATTTGTTATTTTTGCTTGTGTAAAACTGTGCATTTCTGGACAGTAAATGCAGCTAGAATATGGCCACAACTGCCAGAGTCGCGTATTCCATCAAATAAAATACAGAACCGGACAGTTTATAGTTGAGTTCTTTGTTGCAAAACAAGCACTGTACAGTACCAACACATGAAACAGTTGAGTTCATGTTTACACAATATCAGCAGAGCACCGCAGGGTTTACAGTTCTTGCATCTGGTAGTGCGAAGCACTCACGGTAGAGTACCAACCGTTTGGCAGTTGTTTTCGTGTAAAAGTGTGCGTTTCTGTGCAGTAAATGCACTTAGAATATACACACAGCTGCCAGAGTCACTTTGTCCATCAAGCAAGATACAGAACTGAACCGTTTACAGTATATCTAGTTGAGTTTGTTACTGCAAGACAAGCCGCGTACAATACCAACAAAACATAGACAAAATGAAACTGTTGAGTTCATGATCGCTGATCAATCTCAGTACGGCACCTCATGGTTTATTTGGTACTGCAGCAAAACACACATGGTACAGCACCAACCAGTTTTGCACTTGCTGCTTTTGCTTGTATAACTGTGCGCTTATGGGCAGTCAATGCACTTAGAATATGGCCACAACTACATAGTCACTTTTACCTCAAGCAAGGCAAAGAACAGAAACCTATTACAGTTGAGTTAGACAGGCCGCGCTACAATACAAAAATAAAAAATAAAAACATGCAACTGCTGAGTTCATGATCGCCGATCAATCTCAGTACGGTACCTCATGGTTTACAGTTGTTTTTGGTACTGCAGCGAAACACGCACGGTACAGCACCAGCCAGTTTTGCACTTGCTGCTTTTGCTTGTATAACTGTGCGCTTATGGGCAGTCAATGCACTTAGAATATGGCCACAACTACATAGTCACTTTTACCTCAAGCAAGGCAAAGAATAGAAAACAAGTAAGGTAAAGTGCCAAAAAGTTTGCAACTGCTGACTTTATGATTGCAAAACAATGTCAGTACACCACATAGACTTGCAATTGTTGCATGTGGTACTGCAAAACACGCATGGTACAGTACCAACCGGTTGGCCTTTGTTGTTTTTGCCTGGGTAAAACTGTGCATTTCTGGACAGTAAATGCAGCTAGAATATGGTCACAACCACATTGTCACTGATAGTCCATCAAAGAAGGTACCGAACCAACAAGTTTACTGTTCTTGTTATTGTCACAAATACAGTAGCCAAGACAAACCTCTATAGATTTCCTATATAGTGGGATAACCAAGGGGAACATCAAAACAATGATCTTCAGCAATTCTGACTACTGTATCCCAGTGTTGTTGATTAGCCCCATTATGCCTACGATAATACAGTAGTAACACCGGTTTCTAGCTGGTAAACGGGGATGAAGAGAGAGAGAGAGAGAGAGAGAGAGAGGAGGCCAGCAGTAATGAAAATTATTGGGAATTATTGGGATCCTGTTGAGGACGAGCATACTATATGGTCGGATGTAGCTAGTTTTTCCTTAAGACAGCATACTACCAAAATATTCTATGTGTACCCCCTGGATTTATATATTCTAAGTGCTTTTCACCCCGGGCCCAAGTACGTTAAAAATCAACATAAAAATATATTCTAAAACTTTATTTGTAAAAAAAAAATCTAAGTGGGTGTCCGCCACAGTATATACATATATAATAATATATATAGGGGGCTGAAAGGAAATAAATATGTACAGAATTCAGGAAATAAATAATGAAATAAAAAGGGCAATACAGAAATAAACAGGGGCATAAATAGACACATAAATATGGACATATTTGGGGAAATAAATAGGGAAATCATCAATGAAGTAAATCCGGAAATATAGAGGGGAATAAATGAGGAAATAAATAGAGAAATAAATAGGAAAATAAATATGGAAATACAAAACACAAAAAATACGAAATAAATGGGAAAATAAATAGGGACAAAAAAAGGAAATTAGTAATTAGGGAAAAGAGGGAAATTAATAACGAAATCAAAGGGAAATAAATTGGGAAATAAATAAATAGGCGAATAAATAAGGAAATACAGATGTAAATAATTCGAGAAATAAATAGTGAAATAAATAGGGAAATAAAGAAATGAAAATGGGCATGAATAGGAACATAAATATAGAAATATGTCAGGGAATAATTTGGCAAATAAAAAGGGAAATCAATATTGACATAAGTACAGAAATATGTAGGGGAATAAATAGGGAAATAAACAGGAGAACAGATGGGGAAATGAAAAGGGAAATAAATAGGAACATAAAAAGGGGAACAGATAGGGAAATAAACAAGAACAGATGGGAAATAAATAGAAGGGAATAAATACGAAATAAATAGGTACATAAATAGGGGGAAATATGGAAATCAATAGGAGCACAAATAGGGAAATACATAGGGGAAAAAAGTAGGGGAACAAATAGGGACATAAATAGGGAAATAAATAGGGATATAAATAGGGAAATAAATGAGGAAATAAATAGAGAAATAGATAGGGAAATGAATAGGGAATTAAATAGGGAAATCAGTAGGGAAATAGATAGGGGAAAACATCTGGAAATAGTTCGGTAAATAAATAGGGACACAGGTAGAGAAATAGATATGGAAATAAATAGGGACACAGATAGGGAAAAGAATAGCGAAGCAGATACGACAATAATACAAAAGGAAATGAAATGTGAAATTAATAAGGACATTAAGGAAATAAATAAGACAACAAATAGGAGCATAAATAGGGAACTGAGGGAAATAAATAGGGAAATAAATGGGGGGAACAAAATAAGGAAACACATAGGGAAATAAATCGGGAAATAAATAGGGACATAATCCGGGAAATAATTCGGAAAATAAATGAAGAAATAAGGGTAGTGAATAGGGAAATAAATAGGGACATAAATAGGGAAATGAATAGGGAAACAAAATAGGGACAGGGAAATAAATTTGGAAATAAATAGTGAAATCAATAGGCACACAATTAGGGAAATCAATGGGGAAATAAATAGGGAAATAAATAGGGAAATAAATAGGGACATAAATAGGGACATAATTCCGGAAATAATTCGGGAAATAACTAGGGAAATAAACAGGGAAATAAATAGAGCAATGAATAGGCAAATAGATAGGGCAACAATAGGACAACAACTAGGGACATGAATAGGACAACAAATAGGGAAATAAACAGGAGAACAGATGTAGAAATGAAAAGGAAAATAAATAGGGAACGAATTCGGGAAATAATTCGCGAATTATTTCCCTATTTATTTCCCTTTTCATTTCCCAATCTGTTCTCCTGTTTATTTCCCTATTTGTTCCCGTATTTATTTCCCTATTTATTTCCCTATTTGTTTCCGTATTTATTTCCCTATTTATTTCCCCATGTATTATTGTCGTATTTGTTTCCCTTTTTATTTCCATATTCATTTCCCTATCTGTATCCCTATTTATTTCCCTACTTATTTCCCTATTCATTTCCCCGTGTATTATTTTCCGTAAATGAAAAGGGAAATAAATAGGGCAATGAATAGGGAATTAAATAAGGCAATGAATAGGGAAAATAATCGGGAAATAAATAGCAGAACATCGTGTAGAACGAACCCAGCAAATTCTCGGCTGAGGTGGATCAGAAGGGCTTTGACCGTCTTTGCCACCAAGCACTGCAAGAGATGAGGATTCCTGCAATCCGGGACATGCTTCAAGTAGGGGAAAAAAACTACATCATCATGTGGGCAGTTGTCAGGCGAGGCTGTACCAAAGCTTGGCGCGTGGTTGCTGCAAGAGGTCAAAACTCAACATCCTTTGTCATCACTCTGCAGAATTTTGCTGTCAGCTTCCAACCTGTCTCTCCCGAGAAATGCTGCCCTGGGGCCTGGGGCCTGCTTTATATATTTTTTTTGATGAAGGCGAACCGATCCCATACTTGAATCCAGACCTGCAAGCCAATTTATGCTTGCCACCACTTGAACCTCTAAGTTGAACTACTTGTTCGGGAGGATCAGCACAGAACATACGGTCTTTATGAAGAAAGACAAGGTGCCGCTGCAAACTGCAATGGAGGCATTGCTTTGTGTTCACTTTAGAGAAATTTGACAACCGCATCATTATTGAAACACAATGATTATGAAGCCACGGTCAAACCTCACTGGCTGCAGGCTGTTGGCATGTACTTTGTGACCGGTGGAGATCTGGACTACTGGAAATCGGCGCTCCAGGAACCTGTTCCAGTTTCCACAGGCAGCGGCAGATGCGTAGAGTGTGAGGAACCATCGGACATTTTCAGTTGAATTGGGTTGAATAGTTCCGACAGTTCTGTACCTTCCAGGTGACTGGCTGTCTGAAATTGCCTTGTGGGTGCAGTGGAGGCAGGACACGGTACAGTGATGTACAGTGTGCAGTGTTTCTCTCCCTTCAATAGTAGCAAGAAAGGGCGCATAGGGGCCGAAAAGCCTACGCTCTTCACGATCTAAATGTAGTTGTGGAGGGGAATGTCAACAGCTTTGTACCCACATTTGTTTGGGGCTGGTTGATTCCGGACCCCAACTGTGGTTGCCGACTTTTTTGTAGCAGACTGTAGGCACTGTGGAACTCTCTCTGCCAAGTGTGCCAGTGATGCCTGGGCACCCAGACATGATCAGACATGATGAAACTATTTTCCTGGATCAGCCGCTGTGAGACAGGATGATAAAGACACAATTATTGCCAAGCGTCACCGACATTTAGTGTGCGGACTGGGTCTGAACATGGGTACTTTTTGGGTATAAATCCAGTCTCCTCCAGAGGTTTGCAGACCTTGGGAAGGGCACCTGCCCGCGAAAATGTGTGGAACTCTGCATTTCGGTTGAGGTTTTTATCTTGGACGCTGACATTTTCCGCAGTGTCATTAGCGGCTGCAGCAGGGTCGGGATGCCGAGTTGATGCCGCCATGCTAATCAACAAGATGCGTCAGCAATCGTCAGCATATTCAGTGACAGAATAGAAGCGAATAGCAATTCATTCGGTATGATTTCGTAATTTCGTATAAACTAAAAAAAAATCTGTATAATAAATTTAAATTTATATAAATATATTGCACACAACATCAAACAGTTATCTCTTTGTTGAAGTGTTGAGACCAGCTCTTTGCTTCCAACAAGTTTCGCCCTGAATCTGATAGCCCGCCGCAGATCACCAAGCGGCTGGTGCGAAGCTACGCTGCTGCCTTCGTGCGCCACGATTGTGAGGCTGTGAATGCGGTGGATTCCGCCACGACTTGAAGGGAATGGGGCCGAATAGGGGGCCGAATAGGGTCAAGTGATGTCAAGGGGCACTTGAATGCTTGGTATAGAGTTTGGTGAACATGGACATTTTGTTGGAAGGCTCTCAAAGTATCAAAAAGTGGGTTGCGATCTAGGGTACTAGTAGTACTAGGCTATGCTTTGCCTTCAAGACTGAAGTGGTGGTTTGCAATGGTTTGCAGTCTTTTGGTCACTTGAAAGATGTAAAAGACGTGGCTGGGCATGGCCGTGAATCCACTGCCTACTCTGCCAGTGGCAAGTCTCTCAGGCAGTACCCGCCAATGGGTGGCTCAGCGATCTTTGTTGCTCACAGGAGGTGCAGTGAGCCAGCATTTCTTACTCGTTTGTTGCAGAGGTGGACGCTCTTGTTTTAAGATTTTAAAGATGGTTTAATATGGTTTAATATGGTTTAATATGGTTTATATACATGTGTATACTCTGTTTTGCTATATTTTACTGTGCTTGGGATTGCTTGGGTATGTTTTTTAGTTGGCTAAATCTCTTATGTAATGCGCAGTTCTGAGTTCTTTTGAACGCGCAAATAAGTGATCTTCGAGCAAGTTCAGCTGGCACTGTCAGGGATTTCAGAGCTTTGTTTTGGCCTCGCTCTGTACAGAGAGCATCACAGCCTGACCATTGCCTGACCCTATGAAACCCTGCGCAGGCAATTCAAGCCTTGAAGGAGACCGTTCGCAATGGCAGCTCCAGCAGCCTGTGGTCTCTTGGCTGAACTCGACCGCGAGCCATGCCCTCCTGGCCTGGCCAAGACAGTACCGGAGTGTACTGGAATTAGTTTCATATATAATACCTGCAACATCCAGGTATAATATATATATATATATAAACATATATAACTATTATATATATATATATGATATATAAATATATATTAAAATAATATATATATATATAATAATTGTAAAATTATTTTTAATATAACATATATAATTATTATATATATATGTAATATATATAGATGTTAAACTAATATGTAAATAATAATAATAAATACATATAACTATATATAATATCGATAACATATAATTAATATATATATATGTTATATAAATATATATATGATAATTTAATAATATATATAAAAATAATACAAATGTAATGATAATAATAATATATATATATATATACACATAAAATTATATATAATTACATATATATATTTATATGTAATATTTATGTATGTTATATATATATTATACATTTAACTATTGTATATATAATATAGCAATGTGTGTATTTAATAATATTTAATATTTATATAATAATATATACTTAATAATTATATATATATATTTATTATATATTATATAACATATATAATTGTTATTATTATATATAGCATAAATTATTATTATATATATATATAATTACAAATATATATTTTAATATTCAATTTTAATAAAATATTTAATTATTTAAAATTATATATGTTATATATAATATGTTTTATAAAATTATAAATGTTATTTATCATTTTATATTTATATTTATATATATGTAATAGATATATATATATATATAATATATATATATATGTGTAATATATATATTATATTTGTAATTTACATATATATATATATTATATCTAATAATATACATATATATATATATATATATATTAAATTTTATAATATATACATATATATATATATATTATTATATTTAATGTATATTATATTTAATTATATATATATATATGTGTACAATAATATTTGTATATAAATATAATATTATACTTTTAATTATATATATATATATAATTATATATGTTATATATTATTTTCTATATACGTATATTTGTATCATAATATGACACAGATACATATGGTGTTATGAGTCCAAATTCTGCTGAACCGTTTGGAAGCCAACATGTTGAACATGTTCTTTTTTGACCCTCTTGGCATTTGAAGCAGGTTTTTTAAAGGCATTCTTAACTTAAGCAGTGTTTTGAACAGCCAGTTTCAAATCTCTGACTGTATCAACAGATGATCTTGAGAAGACAAAAACATTCTCAGTCACCCTACCACAGAAGGCACGCCTGAAGCTAACCCGGGCAGACCCAAATTTCCAGAAAAAAAACTCGAAAAACACAGGAAAGCACCAGCAAAAGAGAACACCAGAAAAAGACCAGAAAAAAACTAGAAAAATGCCAGAAAAGCAAGAACCAACCAGAAAAATACAAAGAACAGCCATTTAAAAAAACGAGCAAAAGACAAGAAAGCACAGTGACAAATACCAGCAAAAGAGCAGACACAGACCAGCAAAAGATTACATAGAAAAACACCACAAACAACACAACAATAAAGACAAGAAACGACCAGCAAAAGACCAGACAAATACCAACAAACTAAAAAAACTAGACAAATGCCAGACAAAGATCAGACAAAGACCAGCGAAAGGCCAGAACGCCAGGAAAAAAAAAAAACAAAGCAGAAACAAACCAGAGAAAGATTAGAAAAAACAATCAGAAAAGAACCAGAACACCAAAAAGAACTAACAAGATGCCAAAACATGACCTCAAGAAAATACAATGGATTTTGGAAATACCAGATCAAAACCTGTTCAGAATACTAGCGGATTACCAGCACCTCTCAAAAAACAGCAGTTTTGTTTTTTCAACCCTACCGGAATTCGAACTTACACATATATTGTATGCAACTGTAGACTGTAGATGCTTAATTGTTCCACGTTCGAACCGAATTGGCAATAGATCGAGCCGACCAGGTTGTCCTTTTGGAACATTTCCAGGGTCAGTGCCGATAGTTTCTATTGGCTGATTCCAACAGAGCTGAATTTGGTTTGCGGTGAGCCCATGCTATGATTTGCGCGGATGATGAACATGGTCATGAGTTGTGATTACAGCAATGGGGAGTATCACAAGCATAATCGAAAGCCTCAAGATAAGATTTCCTGAGGGCAATCAGACTCCTGTGCTTTTGCAGTCATACAATTATTCCTCCCACACATGTGCCTTGCGCATCCTTGCAGTCCTTGCATGGCATCTTCGCAGGCTTCGAGGAGACAGTGCTGAGCACGAGGCGCTGATGCGCGTGACAGCGGTCAAGACTGCAACTGCGACTTCGGTAAGATTACACTAGACTTCTTGTGTGACTTGTGGGATCAAAGAATTTCAAGCATGCTAAAATTATCTACTTGATTTGATGGCATCAGGCTTCAGAGAACGTCAAAACTGTTGTACTCTTGTAGCGGGACCTTGGACTATCTGGCCTTGTTGACTCTTTTTGAACGGTTGACAATTTCTGTCGCAGCTGGCTCCATTGAGAAGTCATATATAGGTTTGCCAGACATAGCCTCAATGTCACAAGCAAACGCCGTGCATGCCATGCTTGCGCGGCTGGCACATTCCTTGAAACGAGCGCCAGAGGTGGAACGACAAGGAAATACCGTTCTCAATGAGATCACTCAGACAATTGAGAAGAAAACACTCTACATCATTCGGCGAGTGGCCAAGGCTGGCTGTGTTGGAAAGCAGACTCTACATTGAGGCGCATGCTGGCCAAGTTGAAGAGACCTCACGAGGTTTTCTTAGATAAGGTTGACGACATTTTGACCCTAAACTTCGCGGATCTTGCTGGAAAGCAAATGCAGCATACCGACAGCTTCTTCTACAAGGGATTCTTTTGTGATTTACTACCCTGCTATTTTGATTTCCTACCCTGCCAATACCTGGATTTGGACCCGGAAAAGCAGATCAGAGGTGCTCTGCAAGCACAGGAAAAGACATCGAAGGTAAGCCTCTCTGAAGGCAGAGTGATCTTCATGAAAGAGCAGAGTTCCTTCCTTTGTGCACCAACTGGCACGGCTGCTGAAGTTTTGGAGCCATTCTGTACTCGTCCCATGTTTTTTCAATGGAAGGTTTTACACCATGGAGCTGTTTGCGGTCTTGGCCTCTTGTCTTCTGAGGAAGAATTTCAGGGAGATCTCCTGCGAGGTTTTCGACTTGCACTACATAAAGTTCATCACTTCAAACTTTTGCAGAAGGCCTGGTACCGCCTGTGTGGACCGGAGGAAGCGAAGGAGAGTGCTTCAGTTTGTCCCTTGTGCTATTGGATCCGACAGATCCAAGCAACAATTTGCTTGCAGAGGATCGCTGGCCTTACTTTGACAAGCTTGCAGAGTATGCAAGCTGCACTCTGGAGAGGCTGCGATGCCTTGAATTTGGTATTCCCGACTCGGTGGTGGAACTCTTCCGACCGCAGCCAGATCTTTGGTTGCGACTACCCTTTGTGCCTCGCAAGGGCTCCTTCCTCGTTAGGGGAGAGAGGTGGAATTTGTAATTTGCGCAGCCCTTTCCAATTCTGCAACGTCCAGTGTGTCCACGCTGTGATATGAGCGTGTCGGCTCACATGTTGCACGCCATGTTAGTGGCACGTCGCTTTGCAACCGTGGAAGCCAAGGATAGCGTTCTTACCTCCGCCGAGCTGCAACGTTTGATCCTGGAAGATGCCCGGCACAAACTGGAGCAGTGTATTAACCAGACATTTGGCACCGCCTCCTCCTGGATTCCATCAACTGAGTCGTTCAACCAAAAGTCGGTTGTTCTTGTTTTGCCGATTGGAGATGAGACTACTGGCTCCGACGCAAAGTACCTCGTATGACTGCATACAGTGTGAAGTAGTTTCCGATGAGCTAACATGAGCTAACATGATCAAGGGTGCTCCCTGCCGCTGATCCATATCAAATACCCAGGCAACATTATGCCGATGTGGTACAAAGTTATGTAGGCAATTTGAAACGATAAACTCTTGGACGTGCCCGGGAAGGCAATGTCCCTGACCAAAAGTGTTCCGCTGAGCCAAAACAGCAAGAAAACATCAGCCACACGCTGCCTCCCGCGCAGCATTTTCGATGCTTGATCTCCATCAATTTCATCAAAAAATGACATGAAATAACTTGACATTGACATTGACATACATTGACCACATTGACCACACTGACATACATTGACCACATTGACCACATTGACCACATTGACCATATTGACCACATTGACCACATTGACCACATTGACTCAGACCACATTGACCACATTGACCACATTGACTCAGACCACATTGACCACATTGACCACATTGACCACATTGACCACATTGACCGTGGTCCATAACCAACCATGGTCAGTTTTGGTCAGTTTGGATTTCAGTGCTTTGGAGAGGCCAAGATAGTGGGAATTGAGACGTCCGAGTCCGGGCCTTCGAGGTGCGCCTGGTGACCATGGACCAAGTAGCCTGCAGATCACACGAGAAAACACGCATAATTTGCCTTAGTATACTAAGATATCCATTATTATCCTAAGCATTCAACATCTAAGTTTTAGCTTACTATTTTCACTAGCATCTTATAGCATTTATAATATCCTGTAGTTTGAATTGATGTGGAATATTGTGGAACAAACTGTCACTAGAGTCCTAGAGGGAGCAGCAGGCCCCTGAAAGGACCTGTTTGGACAGTGGAACCGAGCGAAGACGACTTTTTGCAGTCTCCTTGCGCCGAGGCAGACGAGTCCTGATGAGCACGTGCACGTGGGCGTGCGTACCCCTCTGCAATCCGACAGCGAAGATCCCTTGGGTCGGTGCAGCTTGTAGACAGATCGAAAACAATGTTATGATTCCAACATGTTCGATGACAAGAAATGAAGTTGAAAAAACATTCAACATAAATATAACACAAAACAAATCCATAAAAAAAACTCGCCTGTTTTTGACAACGAATGTGTGCCAGCAATGCACCAAGTTTGCGGTTTCGAGGAGCTGGACAAAGTCGTTCCAAGTTTCTTGGGCTTTTAAATTTTAAGCCCTTCTTCGCGGAATCCGTTGGACGGTTCCTGAAAGTTGGGAACGCATTCGATGAACTCCCTTTGTCACAAGCTGGGCATTTTTCGCCGGACGAAGTAACGCATTTCACATTTGATTTCATTTGATCATATTTGATCAGAACACATTTGATAAATGGGGAACGTAGTTGAAATATATGTTGAAATCATGGGATATGTCGGCGCCTTACCGGACAAATCAGTGGACTGGCGAGAAGTTGACCGCGCTTTCCATCAGAAATGATTGGTGCCTCGCTGAGCTGTGGAAATACTGCTGACCTCAACGGTCCACTGAGAGTTTTGGTGACGTTGCAACAGCTCCTGGTGGCAGATAATCTTCGTCCGGTGTCCTTCTGCCTTCCCTACAAAGGCCAAATCGTATCCAATTCATCTAAAGCAGTGGGTTTAGCATGACTAGTTGCGGCTCAAAAATGCACAATGCAAAGTGAGCAGAAGGAGAAGTTGCATTGCACATATTTTTTGTTGCACTTGTCCATGCTGAAGGCAACAGTCAAGTGTAATTACAGTGTAAATTCTACGAGTATAGACCGACCGAACTGAGATGGAAGATTCAGATGTTAGGAACTCACAGACCGTGAGAGACGGCGACAAGTGGCACCACAGTGGTATTTCCTGGATCCAGGGCGGGATTTCCTTCCAAATATGCAGAAATCGCGCTTGCTACGTAACGCGCGAAGCTGCTTTCTGTAAATTACATTCCAAAATTTCTGGCAGAGACTTGCGGAGCTTCAATTCTAGAGATCAACAGATCCAAACACGACATCTACATCCGACATTCATTCTCACTTAGAGATCACTACAGTATGTTTTTCTTTCTCTATATTTATATCCACTGACGCTCTACCTGAGGCTCATCCCAGCCCTGTTTCCGATAAAGAGTGGGAATAAATCTATAGCAGACTACAGATGTCTACAGTGTAGACAGTATCTTGCCAGGGCTGAGGATGAAACCGTTGACACGAGAACGAATCGCTCTTGCAAGTCTTGCCTCCAAGTCTCACGAGTTTCGCCTCAAGGGCGATCAAGAAGAGGAGCTCGGTCGAAAAGTGAAGTGCAATGGGAAATGATTACATGGATCAGTGGATCATTTTCCTGTATATCACTCTATTTGATTATCTTATATGATTTATCAATATCATATCATGTAGATTCATCTATATATGATATGTGTTGCTTGATATTGCTTGTTACTCTGTGGTTTCACTGCTCTGCTGTACCTAGACAGTGACAAGTGCCTGATATTCATTGATATTCTTTTCGTCAACACAGCATCTTGTTTCCAGTGACTGTCGGTGTATTTCTGTTTGTTTGGCTCAGAGCTGGATCTCTGCACAACTCGCACACAGGCACTGAGATTTCAAGCTGTCCAACATATATGGTGATCGATCTAAAGGTCCTTGCAAGGAGTTTTAATTGCAAAAGCCGTGCATGTTATGTTGGAAACCCTCGCGAAATTTTTTTTTCGAGTTCGCGGAGGTATAGCATTTTTTTCGCAAAAGTTTCGCGAAAGTTGGAAATTATAATCATTATGTAAAGGGCTGCCACCCACTGCTGCCCGGGGTCCGGCAGGAGAAGGGCACTAGAGAATTTCGGTTTGGTTCTGGTTCAGTTCCCTGTGTGGTGGTGCTTGTGGACAATCACACCCTTCATAGGTAGCAGCCGAGCTTCCAAAGGCGAAGCTTCGCGACAGCCAAACGCCATGGTCCTGAAGCACACCCTTGCACCTGCCGCTGTCACTGCCTAATGATGCTTTTTGAAGTCTCAAGAAACAAGCTCCAAATGCAGTAGCCAAGTTTCCAAAAGTGAGGCTTTGCGAGAGCCAAACACCAAGGCCCCTGGTGTTCGCTTTTCCTTCAATGCACCCCCTGCTGATGGCCGGGGTCTGTGAATAGGGATATTTTCGCGAAAGTTCCGTGAAAGTTATGCGAAAGAGCGGGCGAAAGTCAAAGTGCATGTTGAAGGGGGTGGGCCAGTATATTGCTTGCCAAAAAAACTTATAGTCCGCAACAATCTGCCCTGCGTTGGGATTTCGTGATGCTAGCCGCATGTTTAAAAGGCTATCAAGAAGTGATCCGTGATTCTCTGGCGTAATTTGGCAGGTGGTGAACGAATCTTCATGTTGTTGGCCAACATGGGCCCCGCGAAAGATAAACATTGAGTTCGCGAAAGTTTCGCGAGGATAAAGGAATTTTGATCAAAACCCATATAATACGTTTCCAAAACGATGCCGCACACATTTTATCCATTTTTTATCCTACTGTTTTTTTTTCTGATGTCAAGGTGCATGCAAGAATTGCAAGAGAAAGGCAATTCAAAAAGAAAGTGCAACTTGTGTCCAGGACATTGAGACGACTGCGTTCCAAGATGCAGAGAGGTTGGCACGGTCGGTTGCGCACATTTTTTCAAAGATTTGGTTGGAATGTCCGGCCCAGCGTGACCCATCCGGAAAGAAAATGTCAGAATTACATCTGCCGGAAGTATGCCCTAGAATTGTGAAACAGAACTCTGATTCGAACATATTAGAATACATTTTGGTTTGGCAACGCAAAGCAATGGATGCTGAGTGGGTTTCATTGACTACAGGTAGGCACTGCTCCAGCTGAATCCATCAGTCCGAGATGATCCAACATGAAGTGACAGCTGGCAGGTCATTCAAGCAACCCTCACCTATTAGGCACGGCTCAAAGAGAGTGAATTGCAGTGGGTATGGTGGTTTTTCAGTGAAGAAACACTCCCCGCCAACATGTGGCTCTCCAAGAATCGGCTAACCGAAATCATCCTGAATTCACTGACTTAGATTGGCTTAGCATCATCGTAGCATCATTATCCTAGTCAAGCAGTGCCTTCAGCGCGGCCAGGCGGTTTATTGGCCCTGGCTCTCTTGGCAGCTTGCTGGTCAGCCTGGGCGGTCAGAGGAATATTTCTAGAGTAGATGTACACGTTGCACACTGTTACACTCTTGTACAATGATGAAGTTCTTGGTCATTTGAAGTTTCAACCTGTCAAGAGGAAGCAACAAGAGCATTGTGAACTGTGGAATCATGAATCATTGACGTTTAGCTCAGGCATGACTTCGGGAACACCATAGGGCAAAACTTTCGTAATGTTCAGCTTTGGCAGGCATGTGCAAGAACAAGCTTTCGTCAATGTACCTCAAAGCGCCACAAGCACTTCCCGCCTCAGCGGCCGGCCAATGTCTATGAAGGCAGGAGTCAGCCGAGCCAGCCGAGTCAGCTGAGTCAGTTTCAAACGGGTCAGTAGACGGTGAGCTTCCAAGCAGCACCTCTCAAGGCAGACTACACTGTGGCGAGGTCCAACTCAGTGCTCGGGGCCCAAGTGGGTTTAGAGGTCTTTAAGGAGCTCGACCCACTCATGAGCCTTGGCATGCCTTGGCATATCATTTCAAACTTGGCCCAGGGTTCTATAATGACCAAAAGGAGCCCACCAGATTTCCACTTTACCTTTCTTTGATTCATTGGTGTCTTACACTTATATATTCACATATATAGATCCAGTGTGTCTCTATGCTGCTAACCCATACACAGTCAGAAACCGTCAACTGCTAGAAGCATTGACGTACACGGCCATCAGGCAGTACATTGCCCTTTGTACCACAGCACTTGGTGTCTGAATCTCGGATGGCATGAACGTGCTCCAGGCATCAGACATAGCAAAAAACATAGGTGTTTGGTTTGGTTTATGAAGCTTTGCAGTCCTGCATTGACACTATTCGGGGAAAGATTGTAATCGAGAAATGAGCAATGCAGACCGCCGGACGCAGCATGCGCATGATATCATATGATGCAAGACTTGAAATTGCGTACATTGCAGCAGTTCTCGACAAGAGATGGATTCCTCCCGAAGCCACGCATTCGAAGATATGGGCAACAAAACTTAATGAAGATTATACTGATACTACCATATATTGCCTGTACGTACACTCAGTAGAAACATGCAGATGCAGCGTTGTTGTACAAGAACATGATACAAATATAAAAGATTATGTAAGATATATGATATATGATATATACATACTAGGTTGGTAAGTACACTAGAGAGCCGCTACCTAAAGGTTTTTGAATTACCAAGCCCACTGACAGCTTTTGACATCTTGTGACTCTTAGTAAGTCTTAGTGTGCAACGAAGGCAGCCTGCTCTGAGGCTGCTGCGTTGCTGCAACGGAGATCTGTGCGCCCAAAGCTTGAGAAGCCACGCGTGGTGATGCAGGCTGCCTCAAGGGTTTGCGTTGGTAGATTGGGATTCTTAATGCTCACCATTTCCATTCTATTTGAAGAAGGACGGACTCAGTATGCAACAAGGTGGGCCCCCGTAGACTATGGTTTATGGTATACATATCATGACATATCCTGACATATCATGACATATCATGACACATCATATATATAATGGGGTTTAACTTATAATTAGGGGCCCGCACCTTGATTGCTTGATTGGCTTGGGCTATCTTCTTGCAGATTTGAGGTTCCCACATTTAAGTGATGTAGAATTGTACGAATTGTCTTTTGCGCAAAGCATGAAGGCTTTCCGGATGGACCAGGCGAGGCACTGCTGAAGTTGAGTGAATTTGAGTGAATTTGAATCATGAGACAACCAGGGCCGCCTTGTCCTCAAACATAAAGCAGCCCAGACTTTACTCTGATGTCAAGACCCAAACGTGACCCGAATCCGCAATCATGTTGCAACTCATAATTTAGTTTCTAACTTTCTATGAGCCTCTTGGAAGCCAAAACTTGGCTGGAAGCCTGCAATAGCGGCTTTATGAATGGCCAGGCAGCTCTTCCCGAAATGATCAGAGAGAACCTCAGTCACCAAAACACTTGAGGACTCTTGAGGACTAATGAGAAGGGCTGGACTTGCATGATGCTTGCCTTCAAAATGAATCACCTCGGTGACATCGGTGAAGTCAATATTTCCAGAGGAACCCCTAACATATCCCAAATACAAAGCATCAAAGCATATATCAGATGAATTGTCGTGTGATCACAGTGATCACCCAAACAATCAGAGATCCCCTCCATTGCAGAGTTTGCCGTGGGGTGTTGCTGATCGGCTCATCTAGTGCATCTTGCATCCAGATAATTACCGCAGAACAGATGTTTTTTCTTTCTTTCATATCGGATCGCTCTCGCCATTCTGATTGGAGTGCCCTCCCTTGTGGCCGTGTTCTCCGCCTTCACGGCTAATTTTGCCCTTGACGTTCCTGCTGCATTTTGCTTCAGCTGTACTCTTCCAAGCAGTTCACTTTTGAGAGGCGACTTTACGGGCTTGGAACGAAGGCCTGAGGGTTTGAAGAGATGGATGAAGATGAAGATAGATCAAGACTTCTTGTAAAACACGTTGCTGCCAGCAACTAGCAATTCATTATCAATTCATTCAAGGCACTTAACGTCCTCTGAAGCCACTTGCCGCGCATCTGAACGGGCCCCCTTTTGGTACCCGCAATGGCTGCAATGGCATTGGCGCATCAAACTGCCAGCTATGAAGTCGACTCAGTCGACGTGCTTTGTGCCTCGGACGATAGGGAGACCGGCTGAGACCGTGATTCGGATCAGTGCGCAGACTTGTTGAAGCATGGATCGCTAGTGGATCGCGAGTGAGCCAGATTCCACGTGGCTTGCGCATAGCAAGATGCAAGAAGCTTGTTGCTGAGTATCTAGTTCATTTGGCACTTCCCAAGTTTGTTACATTTATATATATGGTATTTGGATCCTCTCGCCTGTTTCCTCTGTGAACTGGTGGGGGCTGGGGGTCCAGTTAAGGCACTTTTTTCCCCCCAAAAAAAAGCTCTGAAATAATTTTTGGTGCTATGCTGATTTAGCCTGAGGCTGGCCACCCCATTTTACAGATGATTTTGGACTATCATTTTCACCGTTATACATTGATATATATTGAGCCGTGTTTCTGATTTTACAGAGCTCCTACTGGCACACACACACACATGTCCCAGTAGCATTTTACAGAGGAAATCAAAAATCCAAATGAATGGCCGATGAATGCAATGATGGCTCAAAAAAATGGCAGGTCAAATCCAATTTAGAAAATATCTAAAACACATGTCAAATGAAAAAAAGAATAGGAATAAGAACAAACATATCCGATCCATATTTTTTCAGGTCCTATGTGCGTGTGTTTGATGTTATGTTTTGCCTTTGATCTTGATTTTCAACTTTCCGAAATCAGTTCATGGCGGCAGCTCGTGATTTTCCAGATGGCTATCCCGATGAGTGCGATGCTCGCCTTTGCTTTGATTGTCTGGAGGGAAAATGAGGGAAACGGAATGAAACGGATGTATATATTTGATTGTATTTGTATGTATTTGATTTTGTATTTGAATGAGGTTTCATTGAATTTGATTGAACTTGTATGAATTTGTATGCATTTGTTTGTTTTCATCTTCCCCAACCAAGGGCCAGAAAATCAACACACATTCCCAAGATTTCATAAATTTTCATTGCAACGCCCACCGCTGCTGAGGGCGTGGGCTATTGCACAGCGGCCTCGCTAGCTCCAAGAGTGTTACGTTTCCTGCCTGCCAAATGCATCCAAATGCAACAATGTTGGGTTGATGACCAGGGCAGGTTGTAGTGATAAAGATTTGGAATTATTTTGAGGGGTGTTGAATGGTGTTGATAGAATTTCAATGATTTTTTTGATGAACTTGATGACCTTTGATATTTTTCATTCCGCTGAATTCCATTCCATGAGCCCAAAAACTAAGTTGGCCAGTGCAATCTCAGGAACGCCAGTGGTCGGACGACGCACCATCATTGCTATTGGAGCATGCTGCTTGGCAATTCGTGGAGGGGCTTGGCGGGGTGGAGGGGGCACACGCGCGAAAGCCACATCCTTACTTGCAATGAGAATTGGACGAGATAAACTCAGATGAATTGAAAAGGTTCAACATAATTCGAAAAAACAAGAAAACAAACACACCATGAATTTTCATGAATTTTCCTTCCACCACAAAGTGGAGCCCGATTTTCAGGTCGGAACAGCGTTGGATATGGACCCACCACAGCAAGACGGCACTGTTTCCTGCATGCACTGCGGGATACTGTGGGAGAGCAGAGCTCTGGGTTGTTGTTGGCTGGATTTGAGTTGAGTTGAATTGAAGGAATTTGAATGAACATGATTGAATTTGAGGAATAGGAGTTTTCCCATGGCGAAAGTTTTTGATCTGTTGTGATCTGCTGTTTTTTTTTGAAATGTTTTCATGTTTTTCATTTTTCTACATATTTTGAAGTTAGCTGATCTTGGATGAAATTTAGAACATGCATTTGGATGCATTTGGTTTCTGGAGTATTCTGCCAGGGGCCTCAAGTAGTAGAAGTGTGATCTTGTATCAACTCAGAGTATGGCGCGGGCACTGTGGTGGATTCTCTGTGCCTGCTTCGCTGCCGTTGGCTGCGCTGCGCCGGATCTGCCACCATTGGCAGACGATACCACATGCTCAATTCCAGAGGAGTCGCGGCTAGGCAGAAAATCATTTGAGGGGGGGTGCTTGGTCAGAAGGATGCAGTCAGAAGGATGCAGTCCCAAGATTTTTAGCGAATTTGAGGATGCATTTGAAATGATTTGCAGTGTATTTTGAATCCATATGAATCATTATAAACCCATATTGACTTATGTTGAGATATGATCAGTTTTGAGATCATTCTAGTCCATTCTATATCCATTTGTTGTATTTTGATGTTGTATTTTGTTGTTGTAGGGTATTAATCCAGCCAGACATATGTCTTTGGGTTCTGTAAAATCATGAGCCAGGCAGAGATGCCATGGAAACAGCCAATGTCAATCGGTTCTATCTCAGCTCATGCTTCTATTCTGCAGTGGGTTCCCAGGCATTAGGAGCAAGTCCTTCATTTTGCAGAGGGCCAAACTTAGATCTAAGTGGCATAAGTCCAATTAAGATCAATTAAGTTTACGCGTTTTAATTTTACTTTAAGATCTTTAAATACTTTTGATATTTCATCATATTCTGGATTGTTTTTTAAGAAATTTGTTTCAAGCCCATCATATTGCTTGGATTGTGTCACATATTTTGCACACCATAAGTTGAAGTAATTTTTCAAAATTTCATAAAATTTCTTTACTTAGTTGTGGCACTTTTTGGCTCACCCCACGGTGTGTTGTATTCATTGCGCTGTCCGCATTTTCGAGATGGCTGGTTCTCACATGCCTTCGTTTGCCCTTGAGAGGGCAAGAGATCGTGCGCGTGCATTCCTCCATCGCCGAAAGCCTAAGACCCCGAGGACAGAGAAACCATGGGCGGCCCCCGCTTGTTTCCCTCCTGTGGAAGCAAACCCGTCCAAAGAGTTTCAGATTTTGTGCAAGCCAAAGCAGACATGGCACCAAGTCAAGGCGTTCATGTTGAAGCACGGCTACAAGATCTACAGGACAGCCCGGACATGCCGAGATCGCATATGACTCAGCGGGCCCATGTGAGCAATAGGACAGGGTGAGTAGAGAAAGCACAAAAGTGCCGGTTCGATCTAGTCTTGCCAGCTGTGCTCTATGGAGTCAGTTCCTCTGCAAACCCTCTCATCCTTTCTTGGTTTTGTTTTTTATTTTTTAGAAGTTTTTCGCTTTTTTTTTGATCCTTCAGGGAAAGCTAGTTAGAGACAGCTTGGCAGCGCCAGAGTTCTCTTAGGTAGAAGAATCGCAGATTGCACAGCTGATTGGAATTCCTTTGAATTCCTTCTCGCACCGACGATGGATTGTGGTAGCTCGTTAGGTGCTTGCAGAACATCTGTATGTCACCTCATCTGCGTGGAGGCTAGAGCAAAAACTGATGAAACAGATTGAACATGATTGAAGAATCTGTTGAAGATGGATGGGGCAGCATGGGCACCAAGGTGCTCCAAAGTTTTAAAAAATTCATTTAACATCGATAAACTCCATTGAATTTCCATGAATTTCATTGAAATTCCATGAGTTTCATTTAAGTTCAATTAATTTCATTGAATTTCCTTAGAATTCATAAATATCATAACTTTCCAACTTGGTTTATGAGCGTGACGAACATATGCATGAACAACTGGGGTGGTTTGATGCGTCAGCAAACTTCCAGGAGATCTTGCCCCATGCGAGTGCATGGAGCGGTTACCGATCTTTGCACGTCCTGGACTGCTTTGGGAATTCCGGAAAAATAGCGTCGCTCGGACAATGATGTTGGATTTCCTCGGGAAACATACCCTTCTGGGCAGTTTGACATATATGCAGATATAACACAATCATATTCAATCATCATCAACCATATATATGTATATATTATCTATAGTATATATATTTTATATATAATATATATTATATATATATTATATATATAATATATATATTATATATATAATGTATATTATATATATAATATATATATATTATGTATATAATATATATTATATATAATATATCTATAGTATGTTTATTTATATTATATTATATATAATATTGTTTATTTATAGAATATCTATATATTTAATATATATATATCCATATATATATATATATATATATCTATATCCATATATATATATATAGATATCCATGATTATCATTAACTATCCATATATATATATATATATATCCATATATATATATATATATCCATATATATATAATCAGATATGATCATATACACGAGTATCACTGTATTCACAATTATTTACATATAAATAAATAAGCCTATATGATTTCAACATATCAAAGCATTCCGGGTGCACAGCCTTCCGTTCAACATGCTCAGGCGACAGTGGACCAAAGAGGGCTTCGTCAGTAGCCAGTATGACATCAAGCTGAATCATGAACACGACGTGGTCAGCCGTGCTGGGTACTTTGCCTTGCTGGATCTTGCATTATCGCCACTTGCTGCCTTAAGAGCGATGGGTGTGTGTGTGTGAACCATCTGAAAAGATGTAAAACCTCTATTTTCGATTTTCGAATTTACCTTCTGGTTTGTTTACATTATTCCAGTCCAAGCAGGGGGACCATCCATGTACTGTGAGCGATGGTCCAACGAAGCGGCCACAGTACATGCGGATATCACGGCTGATCACCGTGACGTACCTGCTTCATTCTTTCATGTCATTTTCCGTGATGTGCCGTGGCTAACCCAAGAACCATCTTGCCGGGTTTTGAAAATGAAGGTAACGATTTGGTTCAGATGGATGTGTTGCATCTAGCATGGACGTAGAAAGATTACCTTCGCACTGTTTCTCGCCTCTGGTCATAAAAAAATGCCTGTCAAGTTTATTTGGAGTGTTTTTTGCACGTAAGATGCATTCCACATCAGAATTTGCAATGACTGTTCTGAGCAAGTGTGTGTTTCATGCTGGATTCGTCAAGGTGGCATGAGCCCTTCGGGGAATGCTTTTCTAAGCAAAATGTGGATGCAACGACCTGATGTCTGAATTTACCCTTTTGAATTAGTAATTCTTTTAAGTAAAGTGAAACAGTCGTTCAATTTTCAGCTTCTCACCGATCGGTCGAGTGAGTGTTGAGCTGCCGTGTGGCCTCCATCCTTTTCCAGTGGGACTGTCTGACTGTCATTTGTAGACTTCAGCCGCGACAACCTTCTTTTTTAATATTGCTCGAGCAACTTCAGATGTCGACACTTGCAACATGAGGATTCCAGGCACAGGCCATGCTTGCAGGTATGGTGATTCTTCCTTTTTGGTCGTTGGTGAGGTTCAAATGTGCACGTAATTCAGGGGTTGACGACTTAAGCCGTTTACAGGGTTGTGAAACGAATCCAGAGGGCCTCTGAGCCTTATCACGAATCTTGCATGACATGTGGATGCATCATGTGTTGTTTACTACTTGTTTCCCTTTTTTATCCAACCTGACACTGGTGCCATGTTCCCGGGACGCTTTCTCAACATCCCTGACTCTATGTGGAACTTTGGATGGAATCCTCAGTCGATGGGACTTCATGGTCAATTTTGTGGAGGTGATCCAATGGGTCAACAGTCTCAGTCTCAAGCTCAGGCTCAGGCGCAGATCTCAGCACTTCAACAACAGAATGCGATGCTGAATCAACACCTTCACTCACAAGCTCAATCTCATATCAACCATCTCCAACAGCTTATTCCATTCCACCAACCTCCGCAACCGTTTCAACCTACGTCAGCTTCATTCCAATCCACACCACAACCACCAGTGCCACAGGCACCAGATCCACCAGCACCTGCGGCCACTCCAGCCAATCAACCTGGGCCTTCCACGCCCTTCAATCCTGATGAGATGCTCCAACAGATGAAGTCCACAGTGGAATCCAGTATTCAAGCCATGGTGGAAAAGACTCAAGTCCAGTCTACTCCACCACCAAACCTCCCAGATGCCACGCCCTTGCACCCTACCAGCCATCATCCGTCAACCCTACAACATCCACCACCTCGACAACGATCTCCTCGACGATCCTGGTCTCATCATCATGGAGCTTCTCCAAGGAGACCTGACAAACGTCCAGTCTCCACTCGCCGCAGCCCGCCACGAAGACGTTCATCCAGGCGACATAGACGATCCTCGAGGAACCGCTCCTACTCCAGGAGCCAATCTCGACACCGTCATGATGCTCCAAGAAGAGATCGTGAGAGTTCTATTACTCTCAAGTCTGCCTCACCTCAACGACGCGATGACCCACAACCAACTGAGGAGTATCATCAACTACATGACTACTCCTCCACTCAGCCAACTCTTCAGGCTTCTTCGTGGTGGAAGAACCAACATTCCACCGAGTACAACAACCCAACGGAGGATTCCTATCATCCTGAGAAGTCTTCCAGTGCCAAATGGAAATCGTGGGGCGGGTGGAAGAACTACCCCAAGAATCCCTCTTCCAAGTATCAATCTACATGGGAAGATCCCAAGCAATCTTCAAACCGCTATGACTCTTCTCACGATCCTGCCACCAAACCACTTACAGCATTCTCCACCTCCAAGTCAGCACTGACACGTCACAAGAAAACCACACCTGACAATTCAGGAGATGACCAATCTCAATTGTCAGAGTCCATCCCTTCAGGTCATATGCTCATCAATCTCCGGGATGGGTCAAAAGCAGAGTGGATCCGGGGAGTCAGATTTGGACTTCGCCACCCAGATCGAATGAAAGCGGCATCGGAGATTCCGTATGCCGAGCAACCCAAACCAATCAAGACCATCGGCATTGAAGAGTTCCAAGGAGCAGTGGCCACTCTGCAACGAACTGATCCAAAAATCCCCTCGGAGATCACCAGAAAAGCGATCCACCTGATCTCCAGCACCAATCTACTCCCCGTGTTTGACTTGGAGCGATCCTTCATCATCGATCTACCATCGACAAATATGCTGGCTTTGATTCTCCCACTTCCTGAGATCTCTCGCTTCAGCATGCCACCTCCATTCAAAGATGCCCAGAATCATACCTGGGCACTCCTTCACGGCACTCCCATCGAAACCGCTCAAGCCATCTTGCTGGAAGGAAAGATCAGACCGGCCAACTGGTCGTTCAACAAAAACCTCAGCAGATGTGATATGCCCACTTTTGGAGCTTTTTATCTTGGCAGAGAAATCGCTAAAAGCGATACCTTTCCAGATTGGGCGGCAAAAGAACTGATGAATACCATCCAAAAGAAAGGGAAAGGACAACAAGTTGTGATCGTGGGGGCAATGTACCGAGGAGCATGCCCTCACACTGCTTTTAAAGCTGGAGGCAATGAAATGACTGAAATGGCACAGATCTCAGTTGCTGACAAAGGGGTGGCTACCACCTCGGAAAAAGAAACGATTGCCCACAGCAATCATGTTGGGTTGAAATTCTGCCAAGCTTCCTCTTCCAGGCCCTATAGCTCATCGATTGCAGATGAGTCTTCTGGCATTATGGCATTCGAAAGGAGAAAGAGCGGTTTTGGAATGGGTGTTTTTCCAGAAGAGGATGACTTGGTTTCTTGGTCTCCAGTGAAGGAGGCAAAAAAAAACTGTCAAAATGGGAAAGCAGAACAAGAAGAAGCAGAAGGCAACAAATGCTGCAGAAGGCTGCCTGTCTGACGATGACTTGGAAAACATGGAGGAAGCTTTGAAAAGAACAGCAGGTTGCTCAGACAAGAAGAAAAAGAACCAGACTGTTGCTTTGAAAAAACCAGCAGCTGCTCAGAAGAAGAAGAGTGAAGACACTGAGAAGGGCGAGCGAAAATGTACGTTTAGGCATCGCAAAACTTCCAGTGCATACAACAAGGAGAAGGCCAAGTACAAGAGGCTGGGTTATAGCCCAAACACTTGCAAGAAGATGGCTAGAGCTGCTTGGTTGAAAGTGGCCAATGAAATCGACTCTGGTGTCTTCAAGGAGGAGAAGAACAGCACTACTGTTGGAACCGATGTGGACTAGAGCTGTATGAAAGGGCAAAAAAAGAAGGGGCATGGGAGCTGGCAGTGGCGGGTGTCTTCTAGGACAACAGCTGGTTCCAGGAACATGTCAGTTCAGAAAGTAGCAGCCCAGGTTTTAGGTCAAGGTTCTAAGTAACATTCGAGGTCAGCAGGTTTGAGGTCTTGGTTCTAAGTAGCATCTCAGTGGACTAAGTAACATTCCAGGTCAGCAGGTTTGAGGTCTTGGTTCTAAGTAGCATCCCAGTGGACTAAGTAACATTCCAGGTCAGCAGGTTTGAGGTCTTGGTTCTAAGTAGCATCCCAGTGGACTAAGTAACATTCCATGTCAGCAGGTTTGAGGTCTTGGTTCTAAGTAGCATCCCAGTGGACTATTCCAGTCAGCAACATTCCAGGTCAGCAGGTTTGAGGTCTTGGTTCTAAGTAGCATCCCAGTGGACTAAGTAACATTCTAGGTCAGCAGCTTTTCTAATCTCTAGAGTGAAGCCACTAACTGTGTGTGTGTGGCTGCAGCCCAAAGAGCAGCTCAAGCCACCAAGAAGGACCCCTTGCTTCACTAGGGGGGCTCGGTACCATGGCTCCAAAGACTGTTGCTTCTGGCTGGCCTCGCTACACTGAGTGGAAGGGGAGGTTGCTGAGGAATGGCTGGGAGAACTGGCATGAGGAGCTGTGATTTGTGGCCAGGTGGAGCTCAGGTTGGCAAGACTGGGAAACTGCAGCCCAGCACCTGGCCAGGGTACCGCTGACCCTGACCTTTGCTTTCCTCACTGTCCTGTTTGGCCAAAATTCGACCAAAAATGCCACAAGCAGCACTGCAAGAAGCAACAGGACGGGTCTTGGTGAGCTCAGCAAGTGGTGACACCCCAGCAACTTCATCTGCTTCCACATCCACGAGATCCAGGACTTGACCAATAGCTTGTTGCTCAGCTTCAGAGGACTTCCTCATACACCTGCTGTACTGCTGTACTCATCCTTTTTCTGCTTCAGCATGCGATACTGATTCCACAAGCATCTGATCCTGTAGTCGCACTTGTCAGCAATAATTTCTTCATGGTACTTGCTGAAGTTGATCTTCTTCTCATGCTGCAACTTCAAGACGGCCTGCTTCAACTTGGAGCTGTGCAGAATCCCATTTGGAGCAATGGCTACAAACCTATACATCAAATCTGCCGTCTGAGCCATGCAAGTGGGATTAGGAGCTGTCTTCCAAGAGAACTGAGCCTGTGGACCATTCGGGTGAGCAAGTTTTGCCCACAGATCCCAGCTCTTTGTCACAGCCATCTCAACTCTCAAGACCTTCATCAAGTCACTGACACCCAGACTTGGGCCTGCCACCGCCCTAGGCCTCTTCCTCTGAAGCATGGCTGCAGCACAGGTGCAAGAAGTGAAGTTGCAAAAAGTCACAGTGGCTTGATGGTAACATTCACAACATCTGTGGTGCATATGCAATGGCTGGGATTGATAAGATGTGTGGTACATACCTGGCCAAAAGCAGTTCTTGCACATTTTCTAGTGGAGTCAGAGCTACATGAACTCAAAAAGCAGTCAAACAACATGACAACAAAATAGATCCCAATAGAGATTCTTGTCTCCAGCATGCATGGAACAGTGACCAAAATGTCTGCAGTCAAGAAAAATGCATATGCTACCAGGGAAAACATGTCTCTTTAGCTGACAAAACATAAAATATTTCAAACAAAAAATGAATGTTACTTAGACAAAAAACACATGTTACTTAGGCTTTAAAAAATTGACTTAAGTTAATTTAACCTATTTGACTTAAGTCAATTTTGTAGAATTGACTTACCTTAGGCTTGCAATAAGGCAATTTGATTTTTAACTATTAGTCAATTTTTTGTATATTGCCTAAAAGGCAATTTTTTGCCTTAACTGATCTTAGAGGAATGGCTTGGGATGAGCCGACCAGGTGGGAAAAGCCGTGGAGGCTGGAGATCAGTGGAGCGGCCCCTCGGGACCCGATGTTGCCACGGCCAATAGGCCACTGCTGGTGGACTGAGGAGAGCGAGCGGCAGGTGGTCTATGACATGGCAGGCCGACCAGGTGGCCGTTGATGAAGATGGGCACAAGCAAGCTGGAGGATGTGATAGTCTACGACAGAAGAGGCCCCCCGGGGGCATTTGAGGAAGTTGTCAGCTGAGGAGGTTTGGCGACTGCAAGGGAGATCCGGAGTAGACTTCAAGCAGCCGCCGCTGGTAGGTCTGGAACCAAGTGACAAGCTCGTAGAAGGAACGAGGGCGACAGGGATCGCAACGGGGCAGGAGGATTTGTGCTTTGGAGGATGGCTGAGGAGAATCACAAGGCAGGAATGTGCAGAGATGAGGAAGGCCCGAAGGCCCTAGCCCCGGTGTTGCTATGGCTTAAGCGTTGGAAGAGAGGTGAGCTTCCAAGGAATGAGCCGTGGAGAGCAGGAGGCACTGAGGAGCCTAGTACAGTCTGCCGATGGGTGGAGGCGTGGTGGCTGGAGTGTCTCGGAGAAGATGGAGAGGACGACAGCATCACCCGGAGAGCCGGAGGGCGCAGGAGAAAGACTGCAGAGGAGGTCATTGCATCCGTAGCAAAGGCTTTGCCTGGCTATTTGTTCTTTCTGCCTAGGCTATTTGTTCTTTCCCGTGTTTTGTTTTCAAAGGGATATTCAGACCTCTTTTCACATCTAGACAGACATTGTTTTTCATGGATGCTGTCCAGAGTATCCATAACCATCACCTGTTCCGCGTACGGGTCTTCTGCGCCAACTTTAGTTGAAAACACAGTTGTATTGAATGCATGGTGTTTGGTGAATGTATTGTTGCATCTTATCATGAATGGAAACAAAAATGTGATCGACAAAAATCAAGGGCAGTAGGTGGTTCAAAGTGCCATGGGCCTCAGCAGGCTCAGGCTCACAACCGTTTTGATCTCAGATGCAGCGTTTTGAGTTTTTATAGCCAACACCGATTTATTGAATATGTGATGTCAAGGCAAAATGTTTTTACACAATTCACAACGCTTTCACACAATTTATTGCAAGACACTTTTACAGCGGCTCTGTCAAGTTGTCTTAACCTCTCAATCCTCAGTGTCTTTGGCTTTCGTTCCAATAGATTTATTTCATATTTCAATAATGTGCAGTGTGTTTGACATTCTTTGGAGACAACAAGTCTGCGGTTTGCAGGTGAGTGGGGGCTTCGATTGGCCAGTCACAGCCTCAAGAATTCAAGCACCGTTTCAAAACACTTACATGCTATCCAAAACATGTAGGGAGAAATGCGCAGGAATCCCACCTGCACACAGGACTGAAAGATTGTAGAAGGTCATCCCATGATGGCAGGGTCCCTTCTTGCTATCATCATGATGACTCAAGGTGATGGAGCGAAATTGTTCAAATCATGTAGCACCAGGACTCACATGGGTGGAGGCCCGGGTTTTTTAAATTTGATCATGCCAATGCATCTGAGCACCAATGACGATGGCACGCTGGCGCTGCCAATGAACGAACAAAATGTTTCCAGTTTTGTTTAGAAGTAAGTCAACGTTTCAGTGAAATCAACTGTCAAGACCTCATGGCCCACTAAACTACATTGCTTGGCCGTTCCATCAGTCTGCAGTTGTTTCAGCGAAGACCTATATCTGGAAAGCAACGAAGAAGCGAGCAGCGTGAAAAGGATAAGCGTATGTTTCTTTTGGTTCGATTTTGTCCGGGTCGGCAGGCAGTGGCTGTAAGAGTCACTGTGGAATGACATGTGACTTGTGGCTGTAAAAGTCACAAGTCATTGAAGCCTGTCCGATATGCGGGGTTCAGCTTGTGAATTCTCCAGGCTGGCTGCAAGCGGAATGAGCTATGCAGTATCGTGCAGTGGTCCTGCGCTCAAGCTGAAGGTCCAGTTTTAGTTTGTTTTCTCCTGGGCGTGCACCAGCAAGAAGTTTAACATTTTTGAAACAAATGTTTTGAAATATTGCGGATATTGAAAATCCAAGCGATCAGGGGGTACGTTTCGATGTACCCCCCACATCGCCTGGGTTCATCTGAACCCACATCGCTTGGATCCTTGGTTTTGGTGGGAAGATCGCCTGGGTTCAGATGAACCCAGGCGATGTGGGGGGTACATCGAAACGTACCCCCTGATCGCTTGGATTTTCAATATCTGCAATATTTCGAAACATTTTATAGTCATGGAAAATGTGACTATGTTCAAAAAAAGTTAAACTTCTTGCTGGTGCACGCCCCAGGAGAAAACAAAATAAAACTGGACCTTCAGCTTGAGCGCAGGACCACTGCACGATACTGCATAGCTCATTCCGCTTGCAGCCAGCCTGGAGAATTCACAAGCTGAACCCCGCATATTGGACAGGCTTCAAAGACTTGTGACTTTTACAGCCACAAGTCACATGTCATTCCACAGTGACTCTTACAGCCACTGCCTGCCGACCCGGACAAAATCGAACCAAAAGAAACATACGCTTATCCTTTTCACGCTGCTCGCTTCTTCGTTGCTTTCCAGATATAGGTCTTCGCTGAAACAACTGCAGACTGATGGAACGGCCAAGCAATGTAGTTTAGTGGGCCATGAGGTCTTGACAGTTGATTTCACTGAAACGTTGACTTACTTCTAAACAAAACTGGAAACATTTTGTTCGTTCATTGGCAGCGCCAGCGTGCCATCATCATTGGTGCTCACGTGCATGAGCATGATCAAATTTAAAAAACCTGGAGCTCCACCCATGTGAGTCCTGGTGCTACGTGCTTTGAACAATTTCGCTCCATCACCTTGAGTCATCATGATGATAGCAAGAAGGGACCCTGCCATGATGGGATGACCTTCTACAATCTTTCAGTCCTGTGTGCAGGTGGGATTCCTGCGCATTTCTCCCTACATGTTTTGGATAGCATGTAAGTGTTTTGAAACGGTGCTTGAATTCTTGAGGCTGTGACTGGCCAATCGAAGCCCCCACTCACCTGCAAACCGCAGACTTGTTGTCTCCAAAGAATGTCAAACACACTGCACATTATTGAAATATGAAATAAATCTATTGGAACGAAAGCCAAAGACACTGAGGATTGAGAGGTTAAGACAACTTGACAGAGCCGCTGTAAAAGTGTCTTGCAATAAATTGTGTGAAAGCGTTGTGAATTGTGTAAAAACATTTTGCCTTGACATCACATATTCAATAAATCGGTGTTGGCTATAAAAACTCAAAACGCTGCATCTGAGATCAAAACGGTTGTGAGCCTGAGCCTGCTGAGGCCCATGGCACTTTGAACCACCTACTGCTCTTGATGTGTTTCCATTCATGATAAGATGCATCAATACATTCACCAAACACCATGCATTCAATACAACTGCGTTTTCAACTAAAGTTGGCGCAGAAGACCCGTACGCGGAACAGGTGATGGTTATGGATACTCTGGACAGCATCCATGAAAAACAATGTCTGTCTAGATGTGAAAAGAGATCTGAATATCCCTTTGAAAACAAAACACGGGAAAGAACAAATAGCCTAGGCAGAAAGAACAAATAGCCAGGCAAAGCCTTAGCAGTGCAGTTGGAGGAGAAGGAGCCGAGACCCTTCGACGGTGTGGTCGCCCATGGAGTGGAGGAATGGGTCGACGAACACTTGGGAGGGGACAAAGCGATCAGCACGGAAAAGGCCTACGTTTCGTCATGGGCAAAATGGAAGGCGTGGGCTAGGCGCCAGGGCTGGACTTCCCGTTTTTGGATCGAGGAGAAGAGGAGGTGGCTAAGGAGAACAAGATCCTCCACTTCCTGGGATACCTTGGTTGGCTGGGAGCGTCACCAGCGACATTGAGGCAGGCATTGTTTGCAATCAAGGATGCACACAAGAAAGCGGGTGCAGGGGACCCCACATCGAACATGCACAGGGTGTGGATCCTTGTCAACCCAGAACTTCCATTCCCCCTTATTTAATTTAAGGAGTTTTTTTTCCACCTTAATTAAGGAGGAATTCCCTTAATTAAGGAGGAATTTTTCCTTAATTAAGGAATTCCACCTTAATTAAGGAGGAATTATCCTTAATTAAGGCGGTTTTTTTAAAAAAAAACTTCCTTATGTTTTTTAAGGATGATTTTTTCACTATTTTTAGATACATCTTTGACATCATCATTGCATCAGAATCAAGACCAACCTTTGGAGGTTGCTTCAAGGAGATGCAAGATCTCCTTTTGGTGTTTTGATTTCCTGCATCTAATGTTTGTGCATCGCATCTGCAGTTGATTTCTCAAGATGAGTAGAGCTAAGAACGCTGCTTCTGTTCAAGACCTTTGCAAATGTTTGAAAGCAGAGGTGGCTTGTTTGGATCCCAAGGATTACTTGGCTGTTGAAATTGATCAACTTTGCACGCATTATCGAAAATTTCTGGGCTTGATGTTCCAGAAAACAATTCGACCATCCAAAGACTGCTTGAAGGAAGCTGCCTTGAAAGTCAACCCTCGCACTTTGAGTGACGAAGCGAAGAAGTGGTCTTCTGCAATTGTCGAATGTGTGCAACACATCAGAACAAAAGCAAAATGGTCAATTTCAAGTAAGAAATATGAGCCTTGGATGGGTGCTTGTGAAGATCTATCTGGAGTGCTCAGAATTCCATGGGAACCGGCAGAAAGGCAAGTTTGTTCAGAAAGCCATTGCCAAGCGAAGGCTCATGAGACAAAGTTCCAATGCGAGCTCCATCCCACAGTTGCCTGTGAATGAACCACTTTTGCAAAAATTTCCTCCAGGCCACAGCTCGAAACATTGGATAGCCAAGAGCATCAATTGATAGAAGTGTCGAGTGAAGAGATTCAAGTGAGTCCTAAGAAGCCTGTGAGTGCTGGAACCTGGATCGATTCTACTGACATGGTGGTATGTCGCTTTGTGGATAGCAAGGTGGAGAAAGCTACTATGAGTGAAGGACCAAGCTTTGCCATTGCTGCTTTTGGTGAAAACAAATTTGAATCTGAAATTCCCAATGAATCTTTGAAGATCTATAGGCAATCTGCAGGCCTGCTGCAGTCTTGAAAAGGCCTGCTGCAGTCTTGAAAAGGCCTGCTGCAGTCTTGAAAAGGCCTGCTGCAGTCTTGAAAAGGCCTGCTGCAATCTTGAAAAAGCGTGCTGCATGTGAAGCAGTACTTGGCACTTCTGAAGAAGAGGATGTTGAAGCTCGGCTGTTGCAGTTGCTGATCCTGAACCTGCTGCTGTTGACTTGGCATCTCCTGAATATCGCTTGGAAGATTATCCTGCCAAAGGCAGTCGAAAGTATGGTGCTTTAGGTGTCAGACGAAATTTTGGAGACAAGAAACAAATCAAATCTTTCACTTTGAACAAAACTTCAAGATAAGTTGGCTTGGATTTGGCCCAGAAATGCATTGCTGATTTGCACAATGGTGCTACTGAACAATCTGTGATTGAATTTTTGAATGAGGAAATTCGAAAGTGGAAGGTTGGACAGGATGTGGATTAGATTGGATGAAATTGCAAAAAAATGGCTGCTGATTTCTGTTGCATGTTTCAAGGAGGTGTAAAATCTCCTGAGAGTTCTCTATAGGAAAATAGGAAATAGTCTTTCCACTTTTCTGTCTCAAGGAGGTGCAAGATCTCCTGACATTTGGAACTTGAGCGTTTAGTGCCTGGGTGGATTTCAAAAATGGCTTATAGACTTTCATAGGATGTGGCTTTAATGTTTAATGTTGGATTGGAATTCTGGATTTGAGAAGTTTTGTCTGGAATTTGGAATGTTGAAATTTGGAATTTGTATATTTATATATATGTTTTCCAACACTGGATGCAGGTCTACCACTGGGGGAGGGAGTGAGAGGTGCAGCAGCCCAACTCACTTACATGGCTGACATGGGGGTCATCTCAATTGAAGAAGCAAGAAGACGAATGAGAAATCTCTATGCTGTGAGAGCTTCTCAAATCTATGGAAACTTGAATCATTTAGATAATGATTTTGTTTCATATATGGTTTGATATATCATGTTATGAAGGAGATGCAAGACCTCCTCAGATGATTTTTTGTTTTGGGCATAAGGAGATCTTGCACCTCCTTTGTTTCAGTTTCAATGCATCATGAGGACCACCTACTGCACCTACTGCGCATGCTACTCCATTGGAGCTCCTGGATGGAGGAATGATCTACACAGGCTGGAGTTTTCTGCGACTGTGGATTTGAAAGTATCTCATGTCAACCATGCACTGTGCAATATGTTCATCATCATGCCTCCTGATCAGGTCCTGCTGTAACCCCATATTCTCCTACATCACCTATTGATGCTGGAGAGCAAGCCGAAAAACCCAAAGAGGATGAGGATTCAAATGTGGATTGAGTCAATTGAGCTCCCCTGGAAAAATGATTGGAGATTATGGGCGCAAGCGACTTTTTAAGGAGGTGCAAGATCTCCTTGATAAACTAAATTTAAATTTAAGTAAAACATGACATCTGTGATATGAGCATTTCTGCATGGCTGAAGCTGTCAAGTCATATTGATCAATGTAGTGGTGATGGACCTGTAGAATCATTTTTGAAGCCTTGATGGATGCACATGATCAGCTTTGGAATGATGATGAGAGCTGATGATCTGAACCTGAGGTATCACAATCATTGCACTAGTGTCCAATACTGGAATCAAAAAGGAGGTGCAAGATCTCCTTGGCCGAAGCTGATGCCCATCCATTTCCTTTGTTTGAGTGGCTCTTGGCAACTCTGGATACAATTCATTCAGGTCATGCATGATGACTGTAAAGGTTTCAAATTGGAAAAAATAAGGAGGTTAAAATTGGTTAAAATTAGAATTGCCAATTTTAATTTTAACCAGTTTATGTATGACTTTTAAAGGCCGGATAGGTTAAAATTAAAATTGGCAATTTTAATTTTAACCAATTTTAACCTCCAATAAAAATCACTTTGGATCCAAAATAGAAACCATTGGATTTGGAACTGGAGATTCATAGACATCCCAACTTACTTCATCATTACACTTTTCAGTTTTCAATGAAAGGTTCAATGGAACCTCCAAAGGAACTGCCTCCATGGAGGAAGCAGCCACTGGCCACCATTGAGAAGAACCCTGTGGACCCAATGGACAAGCAGATCGCAATGATCAAATGTATGCCAACAAAGAAGCTTTTGAAGCACTATGAGTACCTGAGAACATCTGAGACTTGTAAGCACATTATTCATGGATGAAATTCATAGCTTCTGTTGATAAAGCTGGCTTGATGAGAAAAGAATTACATAGATCCCTGAACCTGTGGCCCAACCCAGGAATGCGTGTCAAGAGCAGTTGAAAGCCATTGCCAACCTTCGATCCTATGTCGCAGCCAGTGAAGATCTTGCTCCTGAGGACACTTCTCCTGAAAGCCTTTCGAAACCATTGCCTGCTGCCAAAGCATGGCTTGCTTCCAGCCAAGAGAAGCTGCAAGAAGCAAAAGCCAAGGTGAAAACTCACCAGGCATTGCTGTAGGAGCTGTTTGGCCCTTAGATTTTGGAAAGCGCATTTGGTGCAGTTGTCAGTGGAGGAATGTGGAAATGCAGAATAAAAATATAGCAGGGATCTGCTTGGAAGATGCACAGCTGGTAACTGTCGCTGGAAAAAGAGCCTGCTTCTAAGCTGGTGTACAAGACTCAAGGAGGTGTAAGATCTCCTTTACTGTTTCCCTGTTTCAAAGCATTGGCCAAATTTAGCATTAACTTAACTAAATACAATGTGTAACTTCTTGGCTTCTGAGATCTTATGAACTTTTATGTTGACATGTTTTTCCAGCTCAAAATTTTCCTGGCTTACTTCCACCTAATGTTACTTTGCGAATCCCTTTGTGCTGTATTCCAAAGCACTGGTGCATCAAGGGAGTAACTTTGTCGAAGATGTTAGGAATTTTGTTTTGGTCTTTTATTCACTTAGCCAATTGCACTTGGCCTTCAGTAAGGCATGATGGCAGCTTTTGGCACCCAGGCGACAAGAAACGAAGCACATTCAATGGCAAGGCATTGCCTTTCACTGCTTTTTTACTTGAAGTGAGAGGTGATTGGGCTATGAGAAAAGCAGTTTTCCAATTTCCTGGATGGCGAGACAAACAAGGATGCTGCCATTTGTGCTTGTGCAAACCACTTGAAATTCGAAACTTTGAAAGCTGCAAGGCATTTGATCCTTTGGACCATTTCACTTTGTTGCAATCCATTTCCAATTCTGGCATTGACATCAATGAATTGTTTCAAACACCAGGACTGACAAGCAAACAATTTCTTTTGGACTGGCTTCACATTGTGGACTTGGGCGTGGCAGCAGATTTTATGGGCAATGTTTTTCACCATTTAACTGCCTCTGGAAATCACTTGCCTGGCAACAATGTCAAAGAAAGGGTGAAAAGCTTGTTCCACAGAATTCAAAGCTACTACAAGACTGAAGGTGTGGAAAACAAGCTTCCTACTTTGACAGTCCTCATGATCAGAAAGAAAGCCAGTTCAAGTCCAAAACTTCGAGCCAAAGCTGCAGAAGCTCGAGGGTTGATTACTTTTGCAAAACAAATCTGCGATGAATTTTTGGCTGATGACAATGTGCTTGAATATACAATCAAGATGGCTGCCACAGAACTGTGGCAATGTTATTCTTTCTTGTCCAAGAATCTATGGAATCACCAGTCAATGCTGCTGCATGGCAGAAAGTTTTTGCTGTTGTGCAAGAGCTTGGGAAACGAGACTGACCATACTTGGAAGATCAAACCAAAGCACCACAGCTTCTTAGATTTATTGCTCCAGAACTCTTGTCCATCAGACAGTTGGACATATCGAGACGAAGACTTTGGTGGCTTCCTAGCTCACTTAGGAGCTGTGAAAGGTGGAAGCCACAACCCTTATTCCATAGGCATGAGTGTTCTGCAAAGTTTTCGAGCACAAGTGATTCCAGAGCTGAAGTGAAAAGTTTTGCTGCCAGGATCTGGGATAAGGAGGTTTCAAGTCTCCTGCTGAAGGATGTGCAAGATCTCCTTGCAATTGAAAATTTAAGGAGGAATTTTAAGGAGGATTTTTTCAAAAATTCCACCTTAATTTAAGGAGGAATTTTAAGGAGGAATTCCTTAAATAAGGAGGAATTCCTTAAATGAGGAGGAATGGAAGTTCTGGGAACGCTTTGGAGAGGAGAGCGGTGAAGAAGCCAAGGAGGTTGGGAGTTACCCCGCAGATGCTGGTATGGATGGGCAAGAACATCTTGGACCCCTTCGAGAACGAGCATGGCGGACATGGTCATGGCGGCCATGGTCACCGCCTGGTCCTTTATGCCAACGGCGTGGGCGAGCAGATGGTGGCCAGAGGAGTGGACTTTAGGTTTACAAAAGATGGAGAGCTAGCCAGTCCAGGGCTGGCTAACGAGGTCACCTTCCAGTTCAGGGAGACGAAGACGGATCAGTTGGCCTTCGGAGAGAGCAAGACCCTGAAGGCCACGGGAAAGACACACGTCTGCCCAGTGAGTGGAGGCTTTGGAGCGGATGAGGATCACATGGCCGACCCGTTTTGGGGACCAGCACACAGATGGAAAGAATCTGAGGATTGGAGGCCACGGCACTGTTCCAGGCCACGGGAGAGATTGAGTTGGTCAAGAGGATGGTCCGTTGGTCCAGTGCCGCCGTACATCCCAAAGGTGTCACAGAAGATGGCCGGCGTTCCCAGCACCGTCCACTACACCTGAGGACGTGGGGGGGATCCGGCGTTGCCACAGCTGGGTCACGAGGGTGACTCAGCCATCACCAAACAAGGTGCACCAGCGCCGCGACATGAAAAGGTGCGGCTGGTGCAACAGTAGCACTTAAGTGATCCTTTTTGTATTTATGATTTTTCCTTGCAGGACTTTGGAAGATCTGCGGAGGACTCTTGTCCAGCGGGACAGGATTCGATTTGCTGCTGAACCTGTGGGTTTTGCAAATGTGGCACCTACAAAATCAGGAACCTAGTGACTAGTGGAGCAGTTGTAACTAGTGGGGTTGTCCATGGTTAGGTCTTTCATTTTACAGAAGGTAAAGCTGCAGGGCGCCTTGGGATTCTCATTTTGCAGGTTTTCAAGGTATTAATATGTCATGATTTGCAAAATAAATCCAAATAAATCAAAACAACCATGTACAAACAACGCGCATTCCATCACAGTCCTGGTTTTCGTATACTTCCCTGCTTGCCCCAAATTCATTGCCTTGTTTTCACCCAAGGCCCGACTGGTGAAACGGAACGCGAAACGCAAGCACCCCCGTGAGTACTACAAGTAACTGCCAGATGGCAAATGCCAGGGTGGGAAAGACTTAGCAAGCAGTGCAGCTTACACAGCTGCTTTTGCCCGGGCATTGTTTTCTTGCTGGCAGAGTGAGTTCAATGCTCGCTCCGCCGAGCTCGTATAGTTTGAGTGTCAAACATATTCAAACATACAATTGTTGTGGGCTTGGGCCATTGCCCTGTTCATTCAGAGTGTCAAGCGTCCGATTGTCTCCAATTGAACCATGTCCCTTGCACGTCCACACTGTGGGGTGTGAATGGAACTGCCATGGGACAGACAGATTGCGAGCAAAGTTCTGTGACAAAAGGAACATGTTCAAAAGGGTTCAGGTGGGCTCAGAAAGGTTGAAGACGATTGAGACATGGGACCATTCTGATTCAAGAACTTCTGAAATAAGCTAAAATATGCATAAATATACTATCATTATGTAAAATAATCTTACATTCCAAGATATTCCAAGTCAATCCCTAAACCAGCTCAGTATCCACCACCAGCTCCGCCACTGCCACCACCCCCTAGCCTGCCATCAGGGCCGGCCGCTCCGGGTCCTGCCAGCACTTCAGTTGGGGATGTGCCACAGGGTTTGGAGAGCGTGCCCGCTCCCAACAACACTGCAACTGAAACAATCAAACCCATCGACAGAGGAAAGCAGATTGCAACGCACAGAAAATGACAGCACGCAAAGAGATGATCAAGCAAAGCAAGCAAATGAGACTGCGCCGAATGCAGCCACAGAAACGGCATCAGCATCACCAGAGCAAGCCTTGGCCAGCAAAGATGCAAACACAGCACCGATGCAACACACAGGCAGCAAGCCTCCAGATCAAGAAGCAGAGCCAGCCACTGCAGCATCCCCAGTGGAGCTCGAAAAAGCAACAGCGACTGAAGCATCACCAGTTGAGCAAGCCTTGGCCAGCACAGATGCAAACACAGCACCGATGCAACACACAGGCAGCATGCCTGCAGATCAAGAAGCAGAGCCAGCCACTGCAGCAACCCCAGTGAAGCTCGAAAAAGCAACAGCGACTGAAGCATCACCGCCGGCCACTCCACCTGTGGCCACTCCAGCAGTGAAGCTTGAAAAAGTATCGGTGCTGAACACCACACCGAAAAATATCAGCGTCAAACCGCTTGAAGTTTGAGCCGCAGCAGTCACCTCCCAGCACACCTATCAAGCGTGAGCATGGCGGTCCCACACACAAGAAGTTGGAGCCGCAAGCTGCAGCAGCGAAGGTGAAGGTAGAACGACATGCAAGCTCCTTGTCGCAATCATTGATTTTCAAGGGAAGGGGAGAACAAACCCAAATAGTTAAATATATATATTTCATCATATTTCAATTTCAACATAAATCAATAGACATCATGAATAAAGATGATTAAAGATGAACAAAGATGAATAAAGATGAATAAAGATGAATAAAGATGAATAAAGATGAATAAAGTACAATAGAGCATATAATACAGCTGGATTTTTTTAGAAATTCACTGAACATTCGGGGTAGGCTGCCCGTTCCCCAGGTGATGAACAACGGATCCTAGACTATGCGAAATCGCCCGAGAAGAGTGGAGCTTGGCTAGACTACATGGATGCTGGGTTGTGTGCTGGCAGCTTGGAGTCAAGACTCCACTTGATGATCCATACGGAGAATAATGCGTTTGATGGCAGATATCCAAACTTTTGTGAAACAACTTTCAGCTGTTGATCTGGGTTTTGAGTGTTGCCTTGCAATGCTGTTTTTGATAGTGGAAAAGATGCTGCCAAGCATCATTGGATCCCCTGTGTATTCAAAGAGCAAGTGCATGCAGAGGAGTATGAAGAATTGACATTAGACGTTAGGCGTCAGTTTATGAGGGAAGTGACAGGTCTTCAGAAGCAGATGCAAAAGCACCTTGGCAGTGAAGATGCTGATGCTACCTGCGAGAGTCTGGAAATGCAGCGACAAGAGCCCCTTGACCTATAGATCTATAGGGAGTGGTGGTTGGTCCTGGACCATTTTGTAGAATCATATCTTGTTTGCGCTTAATTTTTGGGCGTCTGCAAAATCAGGAACCATGACATCCACATTATTTGTTTTTTAATGTTAATTAATGTTATTATAAATGACTATGATTGACTTATGTGCATATAAATTCTATATATATATATATCAAGGTGGGGCCCCCAAGTTAACTTGAACTTGCGGAAATTATAAGTTAAGTTATCAAAGTTATTTTGAAGTTAACATAACTTAAGTTATTGATTTTAAAAGTCAGTTGATATCTCGCATAGGTTTTTACTGTGCCCAATTTTGTTATTTATATAAAATGATCTTTAAATCATTATTTCGTTTGTTTTCAGGCAAGAGTTTGTGTATAGTATATGCTTGTTTGTTTCTTCCCTTTTGTGTCTGAGTGCGCAAATGCTCGTTTGAGCATGTAGGTCGCACGGATTTAATTTCGCCCGTAGGCGACGCATATTGAATTTCAGAGCCAGGTGCAGCTTCAGTCGCTGCAACCTGCTCATTCATCTCTGCGTCCCGGCGGGTTGCCACCATTCCCTGCTCAATGTTCATGGCTCCGGCAACAGGCGGAAGAGAAGGCAGCACAGCACGGAAAACCAAAAAGTGAGCTGCAATGGGAAAAAAACGAAGTCGTTTTCGGTTTTCCAACCAGACACATGCGCGTTTGTTGTGGTATCTTAAGAGAGCGCACAACACATGCGCGTTTGCGATGTTTTTAATGTATATTTGCATACGAACACAACGCGTCTGTCACAGCGAAGCATATACATACGCGTAGGCTCTATTCTTGTCTACATACGAAACACAAAAAATCACGTTCCGCACACATTCCGCACACATTCGCGTTTGGAAATCGTTTGGGATCAAACATACATGCGTTTGTGGTGGTGAGGTATCAAACACATACACGTACAGTACATTGCTTCTTGTCACCAGACACATATGCGTTTGTTTGATTTTTTGTGATATTGCATCCAAATTACGCGTTTGTAACCAAACCTTACATACCCCCAGAAAAGTCCAAAATCAACCCGGGAACCCATGAGATGCATATTGTAGTCAGAAGAGCGCATATTGTAGTCTGTCTCCTTTCACTGGGATGCCTGAGGCCGCAAGCTACCAAATATCCAACCATGAGTTCAATCTTTTTGATTTGACGCTCTGTGGAGCGAAGTGTCTCCCATAGCGTTTGCCGCAATCAGTATGGGAAACGCTGTGCTGCTGCAGCCTGCGCCTGAGCCCCTAAAGCAGTCATCATGTAACGAAGGGGCGCTTTGATGAACTTGAGTCGAAAATGCCTGCAAAAGCCTCAAAAAGTTCTCGATTTTCCCCCAAGATCCATGAACACAAAAAAACACCTGCAAACAGTTAACTTGTGTAACTTTTTACTATCTTGTTTACGTCCGAACCCATAACTTATGTTATAAGTCCACATCTTAGTTACTATTTCAACATGAGTTATCAAACTTATAACCTATGTTAACCCTGCTTATAAGTTAACTTGTGAACGTTTTAAGATAAGTTATAACTTGGGGGCCCCACCTTATATATATATCTATATATATTCCCCAAGCGGTGTTCCATGGCAACTCTTTTCAGGGCCCCTGTTAGACATTGGATCCTATGAGATCCTTGTAATGTTTTCAAAAGGGAAGTGTAATGATATGGGGCAGGGCTTCCCATTTTGCAGATGGCAAAAATCTAGCCAACCCCAAAGATTACAGGGAACAGACAATGTCGTGCCCACGGGGTGCAGAATGCCAGAATTAGCTGAGGAGAAGTTAACGTAAGAAGTCGTGCCTACCCCCTAAACACAAGCAACCTCTGGCGTTTTTGGTGCACTTTTCTTGAGTTTGAGTTTTGCTGCGATGTCTATGGGATTTGCTTTTAAAGTCTACTTAGGGGATGTATTTTATGGATTTTTTTAATGGTTGTTTGGATCCAGCGGTGCCAATGGAAACCCATATCATGACAAGTAGTTCACCTCTGGCCCGAGCTACTTTCCTGCTTGCCCTTTGTCTCGCCCATAGCTTCGTTCTTTTGCCTGCTCCATTGCTGCATCCATGGCACCAGTGAGTCCTGATCGCAAGAGACGTCAGATGCCTGACACTGACACCACTCCTGAACAGGCGGGGGTGGAAAGCAAGTGGCGGATTTGCACTCTGGCGTCCTGATTTGGCTAATCATGTTTGGCAATAGTTCTGGCATTGGATTTTCTTATTTTTCTTGCCTTGGTTATTTTTAAGTCTTTGGAAGGCGGCACGGTGCGTCCGTCCTCGCCGACTCCACTCTCAGGCACATCTTCTTGGTTGGGGCTCCCAAGATTATGGGAACATGATATGTAATATAAAGTAATCAGTGGTTCTATTATATATGACGCTCCTGGTGGGTGGTGACAGCTTTGCAGTCCAAATCCGTTGCATGGGCAAGATCAGCTGCAGACTGTGCAGCAGGTTCAGGCACTGTGCAGCACAACAGGTCTCAGCGCTTTGTGCCAGCGCCAGCTCTTGTTTGGGCG